ATATATATATATATATATATATATATATATATATATATATATATATATATATATATATATATATATATATATATATATATTTATATATATATATATATATATATATGCATGGTTTAACTAATAAGTATACATCATGGGGCAGCAGATCAGGCTGTAACTAGGATTCTGAGACAACCGAATCAACCACCAAAGTTGCGAGCTTCTAGAGGGGTGTGGGGGCATGCCCCCCAGAAAATTTTGGATTTCTTGAAGCTCAGATAAGCTAATTCCCGCATTTTGATGAGTTTTCCAACAAGAAATTAACCTTATAAACAGTGACACAATTACTGCAATTTCACAGTCGCCCAAATGTAATGATGTAATCCAGTCCCAATAAGGCAACATGGTGTGATGATGCGGTAATTAAAATGTGTGTGGTATACTGTAGTATTATCATTCACCACACCTCAAATTCTACAGTACTGTATTACATGTATTGGGGTACTTGAAATCGACACATTCGTCTTCTCAGTATCACAACTAGAAAATACATGCATGCAGAAACCCTCGCCTTGCTGACAAAACCATTGTATTTTCCGAACATGACGTATCTAAAGTAGTTGCCATGGTAACACGATAATTTTTTAAGAATATTCTTACAAATGAAAAATCGCTTAAAAATAATATCACTTTTAATTACAAAATTATCAATTTCCCAACATATATATGTTAGGTATGATATTATACGTAATATAAGCTTCAATTTGGGTAAAATTCAACCACAAACGCTTCGCAAAACGTTTTAAAGTGTTCTTTATAAAACTAAACTGCCTTTATTCTTTAATTAAATGGCTTTATCGATAAACTTTGAGTTTGCAATAAAATGATTTCAAATTCTAGCATGCAAATAACTTTGCTTTCTTTTATATTTAAAAAAAATCAATATAATAAAAAAGGGAATCAATATTAAAGATACACCGATTTGGGGCCCGATATGCTGTCTTGTTTAGTTGTTTCATATACGCAAAGGCCGTCGGGTTTTAAAGCAATTTATAAAATCAATATTTAAAACAAACTTACCTTCGTTAACGTCGGCTCCCTTCTTTTAGCTGATTCTTTCGCCATTTCTTTCTTGAAATTTACAAAATCTTGCAAAAATGCGAGCAAAAATGAAATATATTCGCAAGAAATTTATCAATCATCAAATAAAGAAATGTTTTCTATTTCGCTGTCGTCATGCAGTCGTTATATTGCAAACTTTAAATTGGCCAATCACAGTGTTTGCTATTCATGACAGTCCGCCATAGTTTTTGAGATCAGTGAGGATGACCACCAACGGTTGGTGACCCACGCCCGCGATATTTGATGAACTTTAGACTTCGCTAATGCTTTCGTTTCCCCGGGTGTAAATAGCCAGGGGGAATTAGTACCCTCGCACGGCGCTTCGCGCCGTCGGCTCGGGGATAATAATAATAAAATGCCATTATAATAATAATAATAAAATGTCCTAAAATGCCATTTCATGCCTTGTTGCACGAGCAAATTATTTCAGTCATAGTTTAGGTTTCTGGCGATGTTTAAATTTCAGTCCCCAAATTCTGGCCTACCGAGTCAACTGACTCAGTTGACTCATAGCTAGTTATGGGCCTGCAGACAATGGTCAAATTCAGAAATGTTAACAACTTAACATTGTTTTCTCACTTTGATACATAATTGCTGGTTGACCACCTACTGCAGGTACAGGTAGTTCTTAGGGACCTCACTGGGGGACAAAATTAACTTTCGATGACCCACCCCTTCAACCGTGCTCAAAAATAGTGACCCACCCCCCTAGTTTTTCCAGCCCCCCCCTCCCCTTTTACTTTATGACCAGTCCCTTAGACAGAGTAACATCACAACGTAGGGAGCACTAGGGCACAATACAACTTAATGGGTTAACTAGACCATTGGGCAGATAGTCCAGGGGCAGGGTTCCCAATAGAATTTAGAGTGGGAAGATATTTGAAAGAAGTCAGCTACTGTATCTGGTGCTGAAGGTTCCACCCACGGGGAAAAGTTTGAAATTTAGACCCTCCGAAATAGCATTTTCAGCTATTGTGGAGAGTAGTTTTGGTGATTCTGTCTCGTTATCGAAATATTTAATGATGAATATCGTTTAAAATTTATGTTATCAAATCAAGAACCTTTCTCTTAAATTTTGGAGTGTGATTTAGAAATAACCGGCAATTTTCTAAGCTATAGAAGGCAAAAATCGCAGGGTGCTGGCTTCTATTGGGAATCCAGATTAACCCAATTGAGTGGCAGTTCTCTCCCCTTGATGAGTAAAGTCGTCAGGCATTAGACAGAGTAAAACAACAAAGTAGGGTGTATCGGAGAGCAATGGAAATTAATGGGTTTTAAACACAACAATTTCTAGTCAAGGTCAAGGAATACAATAAATGTTCTTACCGTGTTTCCTTGACAACTCATATTCTCCAATACTGTAACAACATATTTTGTCTGCTGATGAGCCAGGTTAATACTTTCTGCAATAAGATCTAAACATTCATCAACTGATATCTTCCCACAACTTGAACCTGGATGGAAATTATACAATGTCAACCCTAGCATTTCACATCTCTTTAACTCATCAACCAAAACTTGACGACTTTTACTCAGAGTCTCAGCCTCTGGTGATCCGCAGTTCATGAGATATATACCATGAGGTAAAATAACGTGGGGAGAGAAGCCAAATTCTTTGCAAGCACTTCGAAAAAGGTCTGCATTTTTTGGGTCTAACGGCTTTGCATTCCACTGTCGTTGTGAACGTAGAAACATAGCAAATGATTTAGCTCCTATTTCCAATGCACGTTCAGCAGCTAAATGTAAGCCACCACTTATAGACACATGTGCACCAACATATTTGTCTTCTTGAGTAATTTTGTCACCTGATGTTTGGTCTTTTGTCTTGGCATGACTGGATGTGCTTGTGAAATGCTCGTTATCAACTGATAAGACATTCTTTTCTTCCTTAATTTGGATGAAATTTTCTGGTAGATGCTTTTCGTCTTGTGGAAACTTTTCGTAAGTTAAAGCTTTCGTTTTCTTGTTATGATTTGGACGTGTTTTCTTCGTAGGCGAGTGCCTTGGCTGAGTTGGCTCCGATGCAATTTCATTGTCTTCAAACACACTTTTCTCCGCCTTTTTCGCAAGCCGCGTGCTTCGTCGAGACATCAGAAAACAGAGATAAGTTGTAGATGAGTAGAAGAAAGTGAAAATGTTGTAAATTTTACAAGTATTTTGACCGATATCTCTTTAAGTACAAGTGATAAACCTGATAAATACCATGTGCATTGAGCCCGCGATAATTATGCGAGAATTATATTTTTACCATATACTTCATGTAGATTTCATTAATTCATTGTCATTTATTAAAAATAGACGGTCGTAGCGTGCATGCACGATC